TGAAATGGAATAAGTGGCAGTAGTGATTAGTGACCAGATATAGTCTTGCACATTGACACGCCACATTTAGTGCATTCATTAAAGTCCTGACAGTACCTGGGAAGAAACTGTCCTGTAAGCGAGCGCTCCTTGTTCTTAAGGATCTGTAGCGACTTCTTGAGCACAGCAGATTGAACAGGTGCTCTCCTGGGTGTGACGTCTCCTTGATGGTTCTTGGCCTTTGAGAGACGTGGGAGCGAGTGATGATTTCCAGGGAGGGCAGTGAGCAGCCAGTGATTTTCTGGGCTGCGTTGATTCTCCTCTCTTGTCTGCTGCAGTGCAACTGGACTCCCACAGCGAGATGCAGTACACTAGCACACTTTCGATGGTGGAGCGGCAAAAGGACACCAGCAGCTCATAGTCCAAGCTGTTTTTTCTGAGCACTCTGAGGAAGTGCAGCCGTTGCTGTGCCGTTTTGATTGTTGCTGAGGTGTAACAGACCAAGAGAGCTCATCGGATATGTGACTCCCAGGAGTTTGAAGGTGTGGACCCTTTCCACTCAGTCCAGCTGATGTAGAGTGGGGCTCAATGCAGCGTCTCCTGAAGTCCAGAATGAGCTCTTTTGTTTTGGAGGTGTTGTTATCAGAGCAGCACTCCTCTAGTTTCTGGACTTCATCTCTGTAGGCTGATTCATCCTCTCCTGAGATGAGTCCAATCACTGTAGTATCGTCTGCAGATTTGATGATGGTGTTGGTAGAACGAGTAGAGGGCTCAGTACACAGCCTTGTGGATCGCCAGTGCTGAGCGGGATGCTGGAGAAGAGCTGGGGGCCAAATCTGATACTTGCTTGCTCTGTATGCAAACTGCTGTAGGTCAGGCTGGATTTGATGTGCTGTGAGACCAATCTCTCAAAGCACTTCATGATTACTGGTGTTACTGCAACCGGTCTGCAATCATTCAAAGTTATTCGTGGCTGCTACTGTATAGGAACAGGGATGATTTTAAGCAGGGAGGGATGATGGTTATGTTACGTGATGTGTGGCCAAGTATGGTGTCCCATACTTGGAATTTGTGCTCTGCATGTAGACCCATCCAAGTGCACTCAGTTGTGGTATTGAAGGTGGAGAGAGTGCTGGATATTCACCTACAATCCCTGCCGGACCTGAGACTCAAACCTGCAACCTTCGGGTTACAAGTCCGACCATGACTGCCCCTATTACAATATCGATAAAATTGGGCAGCTGTGCATGTTGTTCAAGTTGGCGTCATCTGGGGTCCTCGCAGGGGTCAGCATTATCTCTTCACAGGTGTTGGGTCATCTGAATTATTTCTGTGAGGTTGGATCCACGTCGTAGCTGGTTTAATCTCGTTACCTCGAAATGGGCATCCCGGGGTAGGAACAGAAAGGCAAATGGAAAAGAATTAGCGTAGCTGCTGTTCATAACGTCTAAAGCAAAAAATATGTTTGTGACTTTTATCTGATCTATCTGTGAACAAGGGTGAGATTGAGATTCATTATGCGAATGCTTGGCTGAAGAGATGTGTCTTTAATCTAGATTTAAACAGAGAGAGTGTGTTTGAGCCCTGGACATTATCAGAAAGACTATTCCAGAGTTTAGGAGCCAGATAGGAAACTTATCTCCCTCCTTTATTGGACTTAGATATTCTAGGTACTACTAAAAGGGCAGAGTTTTGTGACCCTAAAGAGCGTGATGGATTATAGGGCATAAAAATATCAGTTAAATATACAGGAGCTAAACCATTTAGTGCCTTATAGGTCAGTAGCAATATTTTGAAATCAATACAGAACTTAATAGGTAACCAGTGTAGATATGATGATTGGGGTAATATGATCATATTTTTTTTGACATGGTAAAACCTCTAGCAGCTGCATTTTGGACTACCTGTAGCTTGTTTATTGAAGATGCAGAACATCCAGCTAGTAGTGCATTACAGTAATCTAGTACACGTTCTGTAGCTTAGCAATGTTTCTAAGGTGGAATAAGGCTGTTTTTGTAACATGAAATATGATTTTCGGAAGATAAGTTGCTTTCTAATATGACACCCAGGTCTTTAACTGCAGATGATGACATAGTACATCCTTTTAGTTGCAAATTGTATGCTAAGAGATTCTGTGTGCAGGTTTTTGGTCCAATAAGTAATACCTCAGTCTTGTCTGAATTTAATAGAAGAAAATTGCTGGTCATCCAATGTTTTATATCTTTAACACATTCTGTTAACTTGGATAGTTTAGAAATTTCATCTGGTCGTGATGAAATATATAACTGTGTATCATCGGCATAGCAGTAACTAATTCCATGTTTTCTAATAATGTTACCAAGTGGCAGCATGTATATTGAAAATAACAGAGGGTCTAACACGGATCCTTGCGGCACCCCATAATTTACTGATGTTAACTCATCACCATTTAAGTAGACAAAATGGTAACGGTCTGCTAAGTACGATTTAAACCAATCAGTTAAATATACAGGAGCTAAACCATTTAGTGCCTTATAGGTCAGTAGCGATATTTTGAAATCAATACAGAACTTAATAGGTAACCAGTGTAGATATGATGATTGGGGTAATATGATCATATTTTTTTTGACATGGTAAAACCTCTAGCAGCTGCATTTTGGACTACCTGTAGCTTGTTTATTGAAGATGCAGAACATCCAGCTAGTAGTGCATTACAGTAATCTAGTACACGTTCTGTAGCTTGGCAATGTTTCTAAGGTGGAATAAGGCTGTTTTTGTAACATGAAATATGATTTTCGGAAGATAAGTTGCTTTCTAATATGACACCCAGGTCTTTAACTGCAGATGATGACATAGTACATCCTTTTAGTTGCAAATTGTATGCTAAGAGATTCTGTGTGCAGGTTTTTGGTCCAATAAGTAATACCTCAGTCTTGTCTGAATTTAATAGAAGAAAATTGCTGGTCATCCAATGTTTTATATCTTTAACACATTCTGTTAACTTGGATAGTTTAGAAATTTCATCTGGTCGTGATGAAATATATAACTGTGTATCATCGGCATAGCAGTAACTAATTCCATGTTTTCTAATAATGTTACCAAGTGGCAGCATGTATATTGAAAATAACAGAGGGTCTAACACGGATCCTTGCGGCACCCCATAATTTACTGATGTTAACTCATCACCATTTAAGTAGACAAAATGGTAACGGTCTGCTAAGTACGATTTAAACCACCGTAAGGCCTGTCCCTGAATACCAGTGTAATTTTGTAGTCGGCCTAAGAGTATGTCATGGTCTATAGTGTCGAATGCAGCACTAAGATCAAGTAAAACTAGTATTGAGACACATCCTTGGTCAGAAGCTAGAAGTAAGTTATTTGTAATTTTAACGAGCGCAGTTTCTGTGCTATGATGGGGCCTGAATCTAGACTGAAATATTTCATAGATATGTTTTTGCAGGAAGGAGTACAACTGAGTGGACAACTTTTTCTAATATTT